TATATTAATTATATATTAATATATGCACTCAGAAAGCTTGTTCTGTGGAGTCTGTATTTTCCTTCATAATTATGTGCAGCTGGGGAAGTGGGACAGCTCATCACATACCTGAATTGCAAGTGTGAAATTTTTGCTGGGTTTGTGATCAGATGGATAAGGATTATTGGTATGCCTGAATATTAATAATAGTCATTTTCTTCTAGATTCATGCACATATCATCCAGGTGTGCCAGTCTTTCATGATGCTCTCAAAGTAAGTATGCTTTCTGAGTCTTACCTTTTTTCCCATATATATAAAACAGTACGCTTGTTTTCCTTTTTAATTCCAAATCTTTCAGTTACAGAAACTGATGTCCAGTCTGTCATGTTTGAGTAACCCCATGAAATTAGAGAAGCACACTTAACTCAAACCTGAAGAAGAAATTAAAAACTGTATTCATACTGTCTAAATGCCATGCAAGTCTGTATGACACATACTTCCTATTGATTGACTTTAAGTGTCTCAACAGTTTAATTAGGTCCTCTGAATAGGTCTTAGGGGCATTGAGAGGTGTCATACTCTTTCAGTTAATTAACCTGCTTGGAATTCAGGCCAGCTGCTTGTAGTCTTACGTGGCTAGTGAACTAATGTGTATGTGACATTTGCCTACTATAAAAAATAATTGTGTTCTGTTAATCTGACGAATAAGTATGTTGATTAAGGTGGGACTGATCACCCATGTCACTGATGCAGCTGTCCAGGATTCTTGGGCTACATCTTCAGTAGTGAGTTAAATATACCTGTGACTGGTCTCCAGTGCTTAGGCCAACTGCATAGCCCGTATTCATTATATTAAACTGTGTTCCTGCTTCAGCATCTACTGGATGCACCTAAAGTGCCTATAGGGAATTATCTGAGACACGATTGCTGAAACAGTAGTGGAAATCATTCTAACTATTTAATAGTGTATGGCCAGAAATCTGGTGTCCAGAAATGGAGCCTGAAGCAGTTTACTGTATTAATACAGGTGTAGCCAAAGTGACCTTTCTCAAGACATCCAACTGCTATGTAACTGAGCTTTGGGGCAAGCATTTTGTCTTGGTATTTAGGAGCTGCTTCTACTGGCAGCGCATCTCATCCCTGTCCCATAATGTGGTGTCTTTTGGGCTCATGGAGGCTTGTGTGCATGTGCTGGGTAGCATGTTTTCTGTGAGCTGTTGCACATATTGCAGTACATGACTCCGGAATTGGCCACGGTGTGCCACTCGCAAATTAGGATGGATGCTGTTAGATCAAATACGATACAGTTACTTAGCCTATGGCAATTTGTTTTGTACAAAATTATAGTTGTACTCATAACACAGTACCTAAAACTTCTACCTAATTGTAAAGACAGAAGTTAGACAGTTGGCTCAAAAGATTGTGTTTACTCCCTCTTTCTCTTATGTACACACCTTTTTTAAAACTAGTACTACTTTCCCTCCTCTCCTTATCCTATCTCTTGGCCTAATTAAAAAGTTATCATAATTTTGTATGGGCAGTTTTCTTCCTGCTGTGAATTCTAGATAATCTAAGTGGACAGGGTGAACCTTTTGACTCCTTGACTGTGGAAATACTTCATATTTTGAGGATATTTTAGAACCACCTACCTAAAACCCATTGTGTCACACTGCTTAAACTCTCAAAGCAGTGGTGCATTTATTAGTCAAACTATTGCCTTTAATAAGGTTCTTCGAGTTGTAAGATACATTATTCACAATGAAAGGTAATTTTCTCTAAAACTGGATTGCTGGTTTATATAATAAAAAGTGCTCTTGATTGATGTAGTTGGGTAGATGGCTATGCAAGGCAGATCTCCAGCTTTGTGGTGGGAAATAAGCAGTTGAAAGACTTGATTAGTGCTCAAGGAAAATAAAAATCCTCATCCTTTTAGGAAAGGATGATATGCCACAGGTGAGCCTAGTCTCAGGTATAGTGTTTGTTTGTTTTGTTTACGTGTTACTTTATGAGATAAAGTAACATTTCTGTTTTCTGTCATACCGAGTTGGCACCTAACTTGTCATGGAAATACTGTGTCACGACCAACCTGATTAAGGCAGCATGAGTGAACTAGAAATGGCAGCTGTAAAAAGGTTTTCTGGCTTTTAAAAATGCACGTGATGACAATACTGTCCAAAGAAGGGAAGAAAATAATCTCTGATCATGATGTGCCGCATCTTGTAAAGGAATATAATTAGTCTTCTGCTTTTTATAAGTTGTTGCCAAGTAAGGTAGTCATGCTTGTTTTGTTTTTATTCCAAATGTTTATAGGGTTGGTCATGTTGTAAGAGAAGAACAACAGACTTTTCTGACTTCTTAAGCATTGTGGTACGTACTCATGATTATTTACAATTTTTATACTTGTCAAATGACAACAATAAATATTAAATGGTACATGTGCTTACACATTTAAAGTTTGCATACTTTTGTTATAACTGTCTTGATCTTGCATGCGCTATTTTTCTTGATATAATGTTGAAGTCAAGTCTCATTTTCAAGCTTCAGTGGTTACAATTAGTTCTATCAAAACCTATTTAGACGCTTGTTAACAATTAAGGAATGTCAATATTTTTGTTACTTTGCTTGATTACGTAAAGTATGCATTTTTCTTTAACGTACATCCAAATGAAGATATTTTCCACTTTAGTTGTAGGATTTCCTTTGCAGCCAATGTTTAGAGTGGGTTTAAAGGAGAAGATAGGGCTGAAGAAGTTTGCGGTTTTTGATAATTTTTAATTGTGCACACAAACTACACTGCATATATATAAACATATGCTTTCCATAATAGGGCTGTACAAAGGGTCCCCATAACAGTGAGAAACCTCCTGAGCCTGTTAAACCAGAAGTCAAAACTACCTCTGAACGAAAGGAGCTAGCTGAACTGAAACCCAGATTTCAAGAACACATAATTCAGGCACCAAAACCATTGGAAACAATTAAAAGGCCAAGGTAAAGTATACGAAACTACGTTTTGCCAGATTTGTGGTCAGTTGGCCAAGTTAAAGCTCGTTTGGTTATTCAGTGTTACACATTTCATGTAGTGCAAAAGTTCCCAAATTAACTTAAAAGACCTTGTGTTTGGTAGCAATGATGGTGTTATCTTAAGCTTCAAAATAAGATAAAAGAATTCTGGTTAGGACAAGGTACTGCTGGATCTCTCAGCATTTAGCTTCACAGGAAACAAAAATTGCAGTCTAAAGCCTCATAGCATAGAATGCCACTAGCAATTGTGTTTAGTGTTTTAAACTCATAAAAAAATAATTTTAGGGTGCTTGTATTTAGATTCCTTAATTTCTCTGATTTACTTTTATTGTTGTATTTAGGATTTCCTGTTGAAGTCCAAGACTGCCTTCTAAATTTCTAATTTGGTTTTCCATAAACAGTAAGAAATGGCACTTACAAATCTAGTTTGTTTGTTTGTTGTCATAAGGGAGATTGGAAAGGCAGAGCCCTATAGCAAACTTTAAAGTTACTATTTTGTTGTCTTTTGTAAGTTGTTTTTCATAAAGCTGACATGAATACATGGCCATTTTTTTTAGCCCAGATGAGCCAATGACAAATTTGCAGCTGAAAGTGTCAGCTTCCTTGAAGCAAGCACTAGATAAACTGAAACTCTCATCAGAAAACGAAGAGAAAAAAGGTAAGGATATAGGGAGGTTAAGTAGGTAGATGATTCTAATTGTCATACAAATAAATGAAATGCTTTTTTTTTTTTTTTTTTAGTTGTTGTTTCTGAAATAATTATTTCATGTCATTATGTTCTTGTTCTTAATAATCTGGGAAATACCTTCCAGTCTAGGGAATGATAATCAAAGTTTAAATGTGAATAGTGTGGAGACTTGGGTGTTAGGAGCAGTATGTTCCCATTAGAATTATTTGAACTGCCTATTTTGTGACATTTCCTGGGTAGAATGGACAAGATGGGAACATCCATTTCTGAATATATGACTGAAAGAGTTTCCCAAGCAGTAAACTCCTGTGTTATTGTAAACACAATGCCATATAAAGCCTTTTATGAACTGATGAAATACCTCTGAAGTCTAGTTGGTTCTCCCTCATCTGTTCTTCCTCTTTTTTTTTTTCTTCCCACAGTTTATTTGGAATTTGGTTCCAGAACTACACTGCTCCTTAAGAAACACTTTCTAATTTCAACCTACATTTGCGGCTACTTTATGCTCTCTTGTTCTTGTGCCAAAACTGTCATTTAGCTCTTCTTTCTACTTGGTATCCAAATTCTTTCCTTCGATGTATTTATAGACAGCAGCCTTTTACATTCTTACTATTATAAAACCAAACAAGATGAGTGATTGTTCTCTTCTCCTATGACTGTAATTATCGTCCTCATCGATTTTTTTTCTTTTATTTTTTTTAACCCGACTTAAAACAGTGTAAAAGTATAGAACCTAGAATATGATGCATAGGTAATACAGCTTCTCGAATGTTTGCCTAATTTCTGGTTTTTTGTACCTTTCTGGCAGACTTCAGTGTCAGACAGTAAATAGACAGCTTGAGAGTTTTTTTCCTAATCTACTGCTTAGCTCGTTTTAATTCTCAATAAAAGCAAAATATTTAGTACGTTGTACAATTCAGTTGCTATTTTCTATAATATGATTCTCTTTACAGAGGAAGACAGTGATGAAATCAAGATTGGGACGGCATGTAAAAATGCAGGCTGTTCAAAAGTAAGTGGTTCAGTTCCACTCTTAAACCCAGCCACTAAACTATTATGTGTGCAGTTTTGTTTTCCTTTCCTGGGTGTCTTTTTGGGTGCTACAGATTGATGTGGAAATGCACAAAGTCCATCAGGCTTAACGACTGCACATCTGATAACACGCTCTAATATATAATATATCTTCTAATTAGTAAGCTTGCCAAACCCATGATACTGACGTGTTTCTACTTAAAATGTTAAAGATAATATTGGTGAGACGTGGCTTACTGATAACATTTGAATTGCTCTTGATAATCTGGGTATAGGTCAGAAGCATCTGCAGATCTTATCAATTAATGCTTCCTGCCAGAAGAGTCCACAAAGAAAATGTTTTAACACTTCAAGGACCAAAACTAGTCTTCATATTACATGGTCATTTAAACTGAAAATTTTTTGCATTGACACCCTTGTGTTGTACAGAACAGGACAGTAGAATTTAAATAGGTATTTCACTGGACATCTGACAGATCTTGCATTTTCTACTGAAACTGGTGGGAGAAGAACTTATAGCAGTCTTTTGTTTGTGTTAGGAAGAACTGATACAATATTCAGTAGCAGAGTTATATATTGCTTAATTTACTTCCTTTTGAGAATCCATGTTGTTATGAATGATTAATTTATTTTTCAGTTAAGTATCTGTTTTCTTTGAATATTCAGAGTATTTTTAAAGATAGATATCTCTGAGGATCTGAAGTGACTTTTAGGAGCATAGATGATGTACTCCATTGAACTAATACACAGTATAGCTTGCGAGGAGGAGTCCCGGGGAACCTTTTGTAAATGAAGGTTGAATGGTTATTTTGAAAAGCCAGGGCAAGCCATTAGATTTAGATTAATTACTCAAAAGCTTTGTAGTACTTTGTTCAATGTTTCTCTTGTGGGTTGTGTTTTGTTTTGTTCTGTTTTTTCCTTTGGTCCACATCCTGTAACAGTAATACACTTTAAATGCTTTGTTTTACTAGACATACGAAGGACCACACAGCACAGAGGAAGTATGTATATACCATTCTGGTGTACCTATATTCCATGAAGGGTTAGTATTCAGTTAACTTCAGTTTTTTTAATTAGTCTACCTGCTTGCTTTGTAGATGTTGCCTTGTTTTCATTCTGTATTTCTTCTTCAGTCAAAAATGACAATTCTTGAAGAGGGCATACTAAATTAACAATAATACTGCATAAAGGAAAGATCTTAAGTACTCACACTAAACAGAGTCCTAAATGTTGTTTGTTAATTACTTTGTGAACTTTCAAGGATGAAGTATTGGAGCTGTTGTAAAAGAAAAACATCTGACTTCAATACATTTTTAGCTCAGGAAGGCTGCACAACAGGAACACATGTGTGGACTAAAAAGGATGCGGTAAGTAGCAGTAACGTTGCATTCTGTAGCTGGCCATTCTGAATTTTGAATACTCAAATGTAGTTAATAGCTTGATTGAGTTATTACTGTAGTCAAGCTGTTACAGATCACTACCTCTGAAATAATAGGGAGAATATTATGCACAGCATGGCAACAGAGAAATGGAGTTTGAAATAACCTGTGGTAGAGACGTATTTGTAATAGAGTACAACCTTTCTTTTTAGTGATACATATGGTATCACTATTTTATAGTAAAAGTGGCTTTGGCAAATTCAGAAAAAAAAATGGCAGTCTTCTCTGCTTTGTTAGTTAAGAAAGTCTACGGTATTCCATATAGAATATATTCCATATATATTTCTTTAGAATAAAGTTATTAGAATGGGATTATTAGAAGTCTTTCCTCCCCGAAAGACTGTGAAGAGAGCAGCCGTACATGTTCTGTAGTAAAATAACTGTTCTTCCAGTTTCATTCAGAGTAGTTGAGTTGTTAGGTAGGGATGGCAGGGCAGATAAGATCGATGCGGTTCCATGGGTGGGGATTGAAGGGTCTCTTTCTGTCTAATTTGGATTCTGTTTACAAGTCTGAATATTTTTCTGGTCTGAATCTAATTCAGTGTTTTGGTTTGGCTAGCAGTGTAACAAGTACAGAGAGAGCATCTGTTTAGTTTGTAGGTACTTCATTGCAACATTGGGAACAAATTGCAGAATTAAAAGGCGAAAAATATTTCCACTCAAGAATTAAAAAGATTCTTAGAGAATATTATAGAATGTAATAATGGAGCTGAACACTTACTGAAGAACATTAGCTGGTCACATGTTGGATGCAGCTGAACACAAAATTCTTGTTAGGAATATATTGTCTATTGCTGAACCAAAATGGGTTTGATACTGCAAACATCAGTAACATCTAACAGAAGGAAATCAAGGTATATTATAGCAAGTGTAGTTCTGTTACCTCATTCTGTAACAATTGCTTCACAAGTTCTTTACTTCCTTTAAGTCATGGAATTCCTCCTTGCTTTGAAGATTTATGTGTGTTTTTAAGAAGTATTTTCAAATGCAGAAATGAGGGATTAAAAAAAAAAAAGCTGATGTTGTGAGCCTAAAGCAGGGGAGTATTCTTGTAAAGAATTTACCAAGATATTAAGAAACTACATGTATATTAAATGTGTCTATATTGAGATAATGGGCTTCTAGCTAACGGGTTTTTTGACTTTACCTTTTGGTTGTTATTTTGGGTCTTTTAACTGTTTTTTTTTCCTGCATCAGAGAACAGAGGGTAATATTCAGTAATTTTTTGCAGTAATATAAAAGTTCTGTGGAGTTATGGCTTTCTTTTTCTTTGATTGGTTCCTTTCTACTACTTGCTGGATAATTGTAGTCTTGGAAAGGAAGTTAATCCAACAAATAATGTTTTTTGTTGTTGTTTGTTTTGGGGTTTGTTTTTTTTTTTAATCATAATGTCCCAATTTCTTACTGTAGTTTCTGTCATAAGCATTGGTTTTCTCACTTCTAATGTTTGTCAGGGACCAGTAGCTAAAATACTTAGTAAATAAAAGTAAGTGGAGTCTTGCGATCTCCTGTGAACATGCAATATAGTCCTTTATTAGCTATGCTTACTGGCTGTTAAAACAGTCCTGGGCTTTTGTCCTGATAATCTTGTAAAAATACTCCTGAATGCAATTCTAAGACTTTTTTTCATAACTTTTTCCTT